ATTGTAAGTATCCATTCATTCACTAAGTCTTTCATTCATTCGTCACACAAACGTTTGTCAAGCATTTCTGCCAGTACATCTTACATTTTAGTATTGACTGAACTTCTAGGTATTTGTGAAAAATACAAGTAAATGCCTAAGTCCTTCCCTAGTCCTACTGAATCTCCAAGGAGTAAGGTTCCAGAAATCTGAGTTTTAATACACCTGTTTTAGGTGTGCTCTGGGAACACATAGGTGGGCGGGACAGTCCTTTCCCCTCGCTAGACCATGGTACAAATAAACAGCTAGTGCAGTAAGAGTTCGCTCAAGCTATTGGTGGCTGCTCCCACCAAAGGGAGGCCAGCAAACCCGGGGCTGCACAACCAACTAGTGCGGTGCTTGCTGTGCAGCAGGTTGGCCACTGGGAAATGTTGTGTCCGATGCTAACTCCAATGCAGCAGGCCTCGCATATGGAAATGAAAGAGCACATCTTGTCCTACACCGTTCTGCTCTAGTAGCCACAAGTGGACAAGGAGCACAGGATACAGGATACAGGGAGGGTCTGCCAGCCCACCACCACTCTCTTTCCTGATGACCTCTCAAAGGGCCCCCTTTGTTAGTGTGGCAGAGGGCAGAGACCCACAGAAAGGGACTTAGAAATCTTCTTTGGCTTGTAATCAGGAAACATGGGGTCCAGGTCTGACCCTGCTGCTTATTAGCTGGGCAATCCACTTAGTCTCTCAGAGTCTTGTTTTCCCATCTGCAAAGGCAGGTGGTAATAGCTACATATTAGGGTGTTCGGGGGAATAATATACCTGGTGCATAAACTGCTCAGCATTGTGCCTGACAGGGGTCAGTGCTAAAACATGTATTCTTTTTATTTTTAATCCTCACCCGAGGATAATTTTTCCATTTATCTTCAGATGGAGTGGGCGGGGGCGGGGGGTGGGGAGAAATATCTATGTGAGAGAGAGACATTGATTGGTTGCCTCCCGCACGACCCCTACCAGGGCCAGGGACCGAACTGCAACCGAACCCATGACTCCCATGACTCTCTGGTCCGTGGGCCGACACTCTAACCACTGAGCAACCGGCCAGGGCTAGTATTAATTTTTATTAATAGTGGAAATAATAATGGACCGCTATTTGTATGCCCAGAGCTGACTTCCTCAGGCCATGAAAGCCAACCTCCACATTTACAATGGCTCTCAACTGTTTTGCCCAGATCCCTTGGGGGCTATGACACCCTCCTAGCTGTCCTGCTATCCCACCAGGGCAGTGATTCTCATTCTGGGGCCCATTCTCTGTAGCTCCGGTTGGCTTGATAAAAGTCCTCAGGTCGCTTGGACCCCTCCCTGGCCCCACTGAGGTCTATTGCTTAGGGCAGTGAGTCTTCAGCAGCCTGCATGTTAGCATCTCCCACAGAGCTCTGTTCAAAGGCGCAAACTGCATCCCACTATGATTCATTGGCCTTGCATCATAATTACCCCGGTGCAGCATTGGTAAGTGTATCTTCCCTTTCCAGGCAATGCTGATATACAGGCCTGGTTAAGAATTATTGTCTTCGTGGATGTCTCTGCTCAACGCTGTCTCACTCGGCTAGCATAGCACTAAATCTTCCGGCAAAAAATAATGGTGGCCAGTAGCTTTTCAAAGCTCAGAGATACTGACCCTGTGTGTCAAACTAAAGAGGCTGAGCCTTTGGTGATGGGGTACACGTGACAAGAGGAAGAATTCTGCATGTAAAGGGACTCTGCATATAGCCCTGGACACAATGCATACTCAGTACTTAATAAAAGGCAGCGATTATTATTATCAATAGTTGTGTATTGGCCTGGCTCCTTGAAAGGCCTGTTTCCATTTTGGGAGAAGAGACTCCAAACCCAGAAGTTAAGAAACCAACTGGCTGTTTGGGAAGCATTTAGGACACGTGACGAGAGGTGTCATGCACAGGCTAGCAGCAGAGATTTCAAGGAGGAAAAGCACCACGGGCTGTTTTCATTTCCCTGTTGTTTCTCAGCCGGCGTGGAGAGGGGCAGCGAAAGCCTCCCAATACTCAGCCCTACAGTTCTGTGAATGACATCGCGAACCCTAGATTGCCACAGGCTTTGCTTTTTGTTTCTCTTAACATTCAGTTTGGGGCTCCTGGTTACTGGGCAAAAATGAGAGTAGACACATTTCCAACGGAGCCTATTGCAAAGCTTCTGCCCCTGAAGAGAGACTCAGAGCTTAGATCTGAGTAAAAGATGGGAAATGATGGATTCAACAGAGGGAGGAAATTCTGCCCTGTCAGCCTTCTTTAGATTATCCAGAAAAGGGGATTAGAGAAACTCCTCAGAATTAAGACAGGAAGGACAGTTCACACCCCTGGAACAAAGGCTAAAAGATAAAGGTCCTGAAGTCAAATGAGACATCTATGAAGTACTTTGAAAGTACTTGAGCTAGACTATCTACATCAAAAGCAGCAGCATCAATAACTGTATCAGCAGCTGGGGTTGAAGGTGCTGCTCAAGGTCTTGAATTTGTCCTCAGCCCCTAGGCAGACCTGAGCCTGCAGGGCAGAGGTGATCTGTTGATCCTTGGAGCTTCCCGCTGAGGTGACTAAATAAGGTACTTGATATAATGGGTCCTTAAATAAGACAACTTTTCTTTTGGTCTAATCTCTTTTCTGCTGCTAGTTCCTATCCTCCTGGGCCTTACCCATAAACTGCCTACTCTTTATTTGAAAAGTGCAGATAGCCCAATACCAGCTGGTACTCTAGTGACTGTTAAAATCTATCATAGGACATGTAGCACGCAGAGAAAAACAAGCCATTCACTCTACTCTATGCTAGTCCTATCACAGAGAACACGGAAAATCTCCCTTCTCTTGGCCAGCTCCCTCCCCTTACTAAAAGATGCTGTGTGCTTCTAAACTGGAGGTGGGGTTGGGGGTGGGGTCTAGCTTTCCTGCAGCAACAAAGATACAATGGCTCACAGTAGGCCAGAGCTGGGCGTCCAATGAGACGGGGGCCAGGCCTGTTGGATCTGCGGGAAGGGTGGGGTATGCCAGTCTAGGGTGGGTGCCAGTCCTGGGCTCTGATGCATCACAACGAGCCCTTCCTGATGTGACTTGATCAGAGAAACCCCGCTCCCACTAGGGTAGGCACATAAAAGTGTATGCTTTAGAAAGATGTCTGCAACATGACGTTGCAATTTAAAATCTGGGTCCTACTTTCCTGAGCTTGGACCCAAACTTGTCCCGAGATAGAAGGCGCTTTACAAAGGGCTGCAGGGGAAGGAGAAGGCGCCTGGTGCTGGCGGTAGCTTCCCAGCGGTGATGATGAGTGGCCAGCAGGTGTCAGTACGCTCTCGTTCTGTCGCGGCGCTAGGCCTCCGCCTCCAGGACCCTTCCCCACCTGCGGTCTTCAGGGGCGCGGTCCAGAGCCTGGGTCGCTTCTGTCCGGCAGACAGTTCTGCGGCTGGGACGACACGTGGTCACCCTTCTCCAAGCGCAGCTCTGAACTCTGGCCAGGGCTGCTCCACGGGAGGCGCTTCCCATTCCGCCCCAGGGGGTCGATCCCAACCAACCTGTGCCTTCCTTACGCACTAGGACTCCACTCGCCCCGGCTGCCAGGAGCACTTACGGTTGAGGGCGCCCCGGCGCAGAACCGGGCTGCTACGGATGCCAGTGGCTGCTTTTCCAGGTTCGGGTCAGGGGTCCTCAACCTCTTTCCTCCCAGGACCCAGCTCGACGGGGACACTCCCAGGTGTCCGCTGCTTTCTCCTGGGCCGGCCCGTAGCTGCTCTGCCAATTCCCAGTAGGGGCCGCTCCCCACTCCCCAGGAACGCTCTTCAAACCTCGCGTTCACAGTACCTGCCTCTCCAAAGGTCAGGTCTCGCTGGGGAGGCAGCTCCCCTGGGTCAGGCACGGGGCACCGGCGCTGGACCCGCGGAGGGGAGGCGCAAGGGGCGGGGGAGGGTCGGCTTCCCACGTGGGGGCTGACGCCGGCTGCTCAGCAACGCCGGCTGGATCCCGGGGCTATAAAACCAGTCCGCCGTGAGCGCGGCGGAGCAGCAGCAGCAGCTCCGGCTTCGGTGCAGACGCCCAGCAGCCGGCGCGCCGCTGCCCGGCCACCCCCAGCACCTTCTTCCCCTAGCCTAGCGCTCCTGCCTCAACTCACGCAGCCTTCCGACCCCAGCGGGCCCGGTGGGGCTCAGCGCCCGCAGCGCCAGGCCGACGCCCAAGAGACCCTCACCTAGACCGCGGCTCCGGAAGGGCTGATCGCCCACCCGCCCAGGCCCGCCTGAGGACGGGGGCGCCTTCATGCGGCCCCCACACCTGTCACCCCGTCGCCGCCGCCCCCGAGCTCCGCGCGCTGCGCCCCAGCCCGAGCCGGGCACGCAACTTTGGAAGACCCGCGGCGCTCCGAGAGGCGGCAGAGTCCGCATCCCGGCCCCAGCCCTGGCCCCGCCGACTCCGCCGCGTCCGGAGAAAGCAGGAGAGCCGGTAATCGCTTCGGGGATGTAAGGAGACAGACGGAGGACCCCAAGCCCGCATCAGCACCCCTCGGCTGCCTCCCGGGGTGGGGGCGGGCCCCACACACGGTAAGACCTCTTGCTTTCGCTCACGCTCAAGAGTCAAGATATAGATATATACATATATTTTTAATTTCCTGTTATCCTTCCAGGTTATCAGGCCAGCGGTGATTTTTTGTACTCTCTTCTTGAAGAATAAATCTCTTTTCTCATCGGATCGACCTACTCTCTCCCGCCGCTTAGAAATAAAACTTGGCTGCGTTTAGGAGCTGGGAGCCAGAAGGCGCCCACCCCGGGCTCCGGAAGCGCGGACAGGGCGCCGTTCGCTGGAGCCGGGCCCATGGGCCGCTAGCGGCCCCCCAGCTCCGGCCCGACCTCCCTGCGGCCCCCTCCCCATGTGAGGCGCCGCGGGGCGAGCGGGGCGCGGGAGTAGGAGGAGGACCCACGGGCTCCAGGCCGAAAGGCAGCTGGCAGCAGGCCAAGGCGAGTGGGCACCCGCGTTCATGTTCCGCCAGGAGCAGCCGCTGGCTGAGGGCAGCTTTGCGCCCATGGGCTCCCTGCAGCCGGACGCGGGTAACGGGAGCTGGAATGGGACCGAGGCGCCTGGGGGCGGCGCCCGGGCCATCCCCTACTCTTTGCAGGTGACGCTGACGCTCGTGTGCCTGGCCGGCCTGCTCATGCTGCTCACCGTGTTCGGCAACGTGCTGGTCATCATCGCCGTGTTCACAAGCCGCGCACTCAAGGCGCCCCAGAACCTCTTCCTGGTGTCTCTGGCCTCAGCCGACATCCTGGTGGCCACGCTCGTCATCCCTTTCTCGCTGGCCAACGAGGTCATGGGCTACTGGTACTTCGGCAAGGCGTGGTGCGAAATCTACCTGGCGCTCGACGTGCTCTTCTGCACCTCGTCCATCGTGCACCTGTGCGCCATCAGCCTGGATCGATACTGGTCCATCACGCAGGCCATCGAGTACAACCTGAAGCGCACGCCACGCCGCATCAAGGCCATCATCGTCACCGTGTGGGTCATCTCGGCCGTCATCTCCTTCCCGCCGCTCATCTCCATCGAGAAGAAGGGCGGCGGAGGCCAGCAGCAGGCCGAGCCACGCTGCGAGATCAACGACCAGAAATGGTACGTCATCTCGTCGTGCATCGGCTCCTTCTTCGCGCCCTGCCTCATCATGATCCTGGTCTACGTGCGCATCTACCAGATCGCCAAGCGCCGCACCCGCGTGCCGCCCAGCCGCCGGGGCCCGGACACTGCGCCGCCGGGGGGCGCCGAGCGCAGGCCCAACGGCCTGGGCCCCGAGCGCGGCGTGGGCCCCGTGGGCACGGAGGCCGAGCCGCTGCCCGTCCAGCTCAACGGTGCCCCCGGGGAGCCCGCCCCGGCCGGGCCTTGCGACACCGACGCGTTGGACCTGGAGGAGAGCTCGTCGTCCGAGCACGCGGAGAAGCCCCGAGGGTCCCGCAGGTCCGAGCGCGGTCCCCGGGCCCAGGGCAGGGCCCGGGAGAGCCAAGTGAAACCCGGGGACAGCCTGTCGCGGCGCGGGCCGGGGGCTACAGCGCTCGGGGCGCCGGCCACCGGGTCCGAGGAGGAGAGAGGCGGGGGCACCAAGGCGTCGCGCTGGCGCGGGCGGCAGAACCGCGAGAAGCGCTTCACTTTCGTGCTTGCCGTGGTCATCGGCGTGTTCGTGGTGTGCTGGTTCCCCTTCTTCTTCACCTACACGCTCACCGCCGTGGGCTGCTCCGTGCCGCGCACGCTCTTCAAGTTCTTCTTCTGGTTCGGCTACTGCAACAGCTCGCTGAACCCGGTCATCTACACCATCTTCAACCACGACTTCCGCCGCGCCTTCAAGAAGATCCTCTGCCGCGGGGACAGGAAGCGGATCGTGTGAGCACGGAGCCCGCCCCGCTCCGCGAACAGACTCGCGCTGACCGCTGGCAGCGGGGGTCCGAGGGCGCGCTTCGCAGTCCCTGCACGCCGAAAACCCGGCCTGCCGACTGCGCCTTTCCCGGCCCGAGGGTGGCTGCGAGTCCTCCTTCCAACACCTGCTCCTCCCTACTAGGGGAAAACACGGGCTGGGAGGGCCACACGCCCCGCCCCCACCCCTGTATTGTTTATAGTTAGGGCTGCTCGGGGCTCCGAGCGATCTTCCAGGGTTCTTGGGCCGCCCCTAATCAGTATTGTTTCCTAAAGGTATTTATTGTCGCCTCCCCTGAGTCCAGAGCAGTTCAGAGTAATTGCTGGACCCAGAGGGTATGGCTCACAAGGGTTAATCAAAGGGGTTACCCCGCCCTGGCTAATTGCTCTCCCCTCCCCTCAACTCTATTTTTAAACGAAGCTCAGGGCAGGCCAGCCCGCCTTCCCATCCTCCACTGTAAATATACACTATTTTTTATAGTACATGCGGGGTGCGGGTGGGGTGGGGTGGGGTTGGGAGGGTCCCTAATGTCGCTTGGCTTTTGATGTCGGAATCCTGGCAGTTGGAGATACCCTGGAGGCAGACACATTGTGTCTGGTTCAGGGCAGGCCCCTCTGCAATGCAAGCCCTTTTCTCGTGTCATTACTTCCCTCTGTGTCCTTTTCACCAGCAATTGGTGACTGTCTCTTTGGGCCTGGACCTGCTTTGAGATTTCCTGAGGGGGAAAAGATTTGTCCATTTTTTTGCCTGTGCCTCACAGCATAATTGCCTTTTCCTATGTAAATATTGCAGTGATGGACCAAGACAGAAGTAATGAATCTTTCTGCCTTGCATTAGCCCGGTGTATAAAGCCATTATCCCCTGATGCACCCTCTCCCTAGTAACTCACTTTAAAACCTCTTTCTGATGTCCCCTCCCTCCTTTCTCTGGGGCCACTGCTCGAAGAATATGTATGTTTCTATTTTGTGTGTCTGTGGGCCCCTCTTTCTCTCAAAGTGCTGACTGTGGGGAAATCTTTTAGCTGCTGTTTTTAGACACAGAGAAGTGTAAATTATGTGGAAGAGGCAAACCTGATGCAATTTGCCCAAGGTAAACAGTTTGAAAAGACAAATGGGCCTGCCAAACTGTACAGTTCCTGCCCCAAGAGCTCTTAGGTATCAAAGTGTTGTTCCCCCCACCCTCTGTTTTTCTGGTTGAGATCATGTCACTGATGAATTCCCAAAGTCAACAGAGGAGGGCGGAGACCTCGTGTTTACATCGAGTTTCTACACGTTTCAGACAGAGACTCTTTAAGGCCTGCACTCTTATTTTACTAAAGAAAAATTAATGTCAGCACATGTTGCCAATGACAGTGGATTTTTTTAAATAAAAAGTTTACAGATCAAATGTGAAATAAATATGAATTAAAAGGTACTGCCTGTTATCTGAGTTTCCAAAAGCTTTAAGACTCTGAGAATATCTTGGTATATATATATATTCTTTAAATTGAAAAATACATGTACATTATAAATCACTCACCTTTACAAGAGCAAGCAATAACAAAGCTACCATTTACCAAGTGTTTTTATGTGCTGGACACTATGATGAACCCATTTTGCTTCATTTAACCTTCCCCCAAATCCTATGGAAAAGGAACTATTATCATCCCCATTTTACAGGTGAGGAAACGAGTCTCAGAGGGCAAGTGATTTGCCCAAAGTTAACAAGAGGTAGAACTGCTTTGCATCCAGCTTTATCTGGTTCCAGGGTCTGTGCTCTTAACTCCAGAGCTTTGCCAGTCACATCATTACGACTTTGCAGAATGCTGCCAGCAGGGAGGTCTCTACACAAAGTGTACAAAAAGTATGGGATATATCCCAAGTGTGTAGATATACACAAACTGTGCATACTGCAGGGTGTCTATATGCCCTAACGTGTGTACATACTTCAAAGAGTATTTGTATCCCCTGAAATATGGTATATGCACAAAGTGTGACATACACTCCAAAATGTGTATCACACCTCAAAGTATGATAATATACAAAATGGGAGGTGTAGCCCACAGTGTGGTGTATGCACAGAATGCTGTGTAGACACTTAAACAGAACCATGTATTAGTTAGTGGCTTGAATTGTCTCTGGCCAAAAGCATGGATCCTTCCTGTTGCATTTCCATAGTATCAAGTTCTGCCCTGCTGTCTAGGAGAACTTAAGATCCACACCCTAGGGTTATGGTTATGAAACTCTGAAGTGGGAAGGGCCTTTAGAAATCCAAGAATCCAACCCCTCATTTCCAACAGGAGTGACTTGCACAGGGTCCCACAGCTCTGGGTGACAGGGCTCTGGATCCGCGCTGCCTCGTTCCGCTGGGAAGTAGCTGGAGCAAGCCTGTGCGTGGTTATAACCACACACACTGCTGATGGAGAGCTATTCATCCAGCAGCTGGTCAGGGTTTGGGGACAGGTGGACTTTGTAAAGCAGATACACCTGCAGACCAACTCTGGATGCCAACTTAGAAGCAGGTCCTCAAGCACCCTCCGGGCAATACTTGTCTTCTTAAATGTCTTTAATGGGGGCAGGGTGTGTGTGCAGGGTGGGAGGGTAGAGAGTCCTGAGAAGTCATCTGGGCCCTGAGGGACCTGGGGGAGGGAAGGCATTGGTTCTGAGAGATTTTCTAGAGGTGGGGCTATCTGAGCCTACAGACATGAGGGGTCAGGCTGCTGGCTCTAATGACCCTTGGCTGGGGGCTTTCTTTATACACCATGGCGTTTGCTGCCAAGTCTGGCTGCCTGGTCTGGTGCTGAGCCCTGCTCCCTGCCTCCACTCCAGCCTCTCTCTCCCTCCCACTCAAGGCACCCACAGCCCCAAAGGCAAACAGTGCCAGACAATAGGCCAGCCTGGCAGGCTCCCAGGAACTGGGCTGTGTGTCTCAGACCGCAGGGGAAGATACAAATAATGCTTGCTGTTGACTTTTTTCTACTATGTGTGCGGGTCTGTGTTTGTTTTGCCTTCACCCCCAGAGGCCCTGCTCTCTGAGAAACGGGGAAGTGTAGGCAATGGTGCCCCATAGGGCAGACCTCACCCCTCATTTCTGCAGCAGAGAAGCCTCAGAGAGGGAGGGGTCCTGGGCAATGTGGGGACAGAGGGCTGGAGAAAACGGGCATCTCTGTTCACTGCAGAGGGCTTCAGCAACAGGCTGCAAAGGCTGGGGTGGGGAGGAGAATGGAGGAGAAATGGCCCTCGTGGGGATCCTAACCTAGAAAGCAGGAGGTGGGACTGTCACCTCATAGCTTCCTGTCCACATCGGATCCAGATTATCTGTGCCAAGAGGATCTGTCTTTGTGATGGAATCTCCTATTTTATGTGCCTTTGGTGAGCATATTAAAAGCCATTGGCTTTTGGGTCTAAAGTATGTTTTACCAGATTTGCTCCTGCAAGTTGCTCTGAGTTGGAGGAGGAGGTAGTGCCTTCACTTGGGCCTGGCAGCCAGACTTTGTTCCATTTCTTCTGCGCTACGGGGCTGGCGGAGCGAACGACACACCTTGGGTCCCCCTCTTTATGACTCTATAATCAAATCGGAGTCTTAGGGCCAGAAGTTGCCACACACCCTCCACTCCTACACTGTGCTGTTGAGGGACTGGAGACCCTGAAAAGGCAACTGGTAATGGGACATTCCGGGGACACTGACCCACTGCTCCCTGACCCTGTCTGATGCCACTGATAGTCAACAGGAATTCTGTTTTGTTGTTGGGTTTGGTGAGTTGCTGATCAGCCCCAGAGGAGCCCTGCAGTGGCTCTGTACCAACACCATGCCAGGCACTGTGAGGCGATTCTCTCCCTTTCGTGCCGGTGCCCGACAGAGCCCAGCACTTGTCTGTGCCCCGGAAGCATTAAAACTGCATGGAGGGACGGGGTGTGAAGCATTAAGTCGACACACAACAGTGATGGTGTGGCGGGGTTCGTGGATGCTGAGTGCCCGCTGAAGGTCATGGGCATCTATCTGTACTGGGTGTGTGCAGCCGGGCAGAGGTCGCTGTGGCTGGGAGCTCAGGGAGCTAGACTGTAGCCTGGGGTGGGGCGGGGAAGGCAGCTCCGGTTCCAGCAGCTGAGCCCTGTGGAAGCATTGCAAGGCCTCGGTTAGGGCTCAGCTTCCATTTCTCCAACCTGATCCCCACTTGAGGACACCCATCCGACTGGGAAACCTACCTCCCTGACTCAAATAGAGTAGGATCCAAGTACCCAGGCTCCTGCCCTTGTCAGAGCCTGGGCCCAACCTGGGCCCTGCATCCCCACGGTGGGCCTGAGAGGCTGGGGTGCAGGAAAGGGCGCCTCCCTCAGCAGAGCGTGTGCCTGTGAGGGAAGCCACGCGGAGCCACCGAGCACAATGACCAACACCAGGATCTGTTTGGGAAGTAGCACCGATCTCTTTGATTACTAGAAATCCTGGGCTTTCGAGTTAAACACAGAAAAAGGAGCAGGGCCTGTTGGAAAGAGCCTGGACTTCGGAATGACGAGGCCTGGGTTCTAGTCCTGACTTTGTGCCTTCTCCCAGAGGGGTGAACTTGGGCGAAGCCCTGTCAGAGCCCCCGTTATTTATGAAATGAAAATGGCTGGTCTAGCTCAGTGCTATCTGAAAGTGTGTTCTGAAGAGGTTGTTAACTACAAAATCAACCTCACACTCTCTCTCACAGTTATCATCTGTCACCCATGTCTGTCTATCTGCAGAATTGCTGGGTAAGCGACTCTGACAGCTACCTTTTCTCCAGGACGTCGCAGAGCCTCGAATGTGCCAGTGTGACTGTGATTCTGAGAGGGGTGGACGTGGAGAGCTGAGTTCCTCAAGCTCCCGGGACTGCAGACTTTCATTATTTTCCGTCTCAGTGAATCATGTTGCTGGAACACTTGGCGCATCCTGGGCTGAGGGGTCTCCCTGGCTTTCCTCTTGATCGTTTTGCGATGCTATGAAATGCCATTTCTGCTCTGTTTCTCCCGCCTTAGGTGAAGCACACTGGGCAGGGCCACGCTGTACGTTCTTCTTGGGCACAGCTGACTCTAAGAGTCTTTAGCCTTATTGAGACTTGGGGTTGTGTTGGGTCTGTTATGAGTATGACCAGACTGCACACACACGGACACATGGGTGCACACAGACATATAGACTGAGACAGACACCATTTCCTGGCCAGCTGGTGGGTCAGG